ATCTCCAGGTTTTTCCCAACCCAGAGCTGGCAACCCTGCTTTCCACCACCATGCCACCATATATTCGCCAAACCTGGCTTACAGTTTTCTCAAAGTTAGACCCCTGTGAAAATAACAAACTTACCTCCTATTTGCCTTTCATCTATACAGAGGAATTATTGTAAAAATGGAGCTTTCTCTCATTCTAGGGTCACCACTCCCCAGTTGGGGGCGGGGAATTCCCTCCCCCCCGGTTTTGTGGGATCCTGCCCACTGCCGGCCAGCTGCCAGCTGGGAGGAAATCTCTCCCCTCACAAACAGACGTCACTGGAAATAAACACGATGTGCCTGCGTCACCCGAAAATGATGTAGGCACATCGGTGACATGGTGGGGGGACAGGACTAGGCTTCCCAACTCCCCTCGGGGGGCGGGGAAACCCCCGCCCTAGAAGCCCGTTCCCCGCCACCGCCGGATCGGGCCCCGGGGGGAACCCCACCCCGGCATGCGCGTCATTAGGAAGTGACATTATGACACCACGCACGCTGGGGGTGGCGCCACAGCGGATCGGGCCCCAGGGGAACCCCACCCCAGCATGCGCGTCGCCAGGAAGTGACGTTATGATGCCGGGCACGCTGGGGGCGGGGCCACAGTCATCCAAGGGAAAACTCTATGGCCGCAGACCAGGAGTCCCCCGGTAAGTACTTTTTTCGACTTGGCAACCCTAGACAGGACACTCTGGTTTTGGGGCAAAATTCTATGGTTTGAGGCTGACATTACCATATAGTTTTGCCCAGAAAACAGAGCGTTGCCCCCGACATCATCAACGTGCCTATGCCACTTCTGGGTGATGTAGGCATGTCGTGCGGCAACACTTCCAGTTCTTGGAACATCCCCCCTAGGCCTGCCGGTGTTTTCCGAGGGTCCTAGCAACCTTATTTGAGACCAAATGCACTGAGCTACTATTATATTTTATACTTATCTTTTCTCTTGCCTTTTACTAAAGATTTTTAGTGCTGATATAAACATATCAATAAATAATATTGAAAAGAATGGAAATAGAGTTAGAGAAGGTCATTTTGATCCACATTCACACATGAATAGAAAATACCGTCTGAGATCATTTGCGGTATGCAAACGTGGTATATCAGCCTAATAATTTACATTTCTGCTTGCTTGTACTAATTGATAGTGTGTGTGGGAGTGACATAAGTGTACTTCTCTAGCGGAATGGTATTGCAGCCAGGTTTTCACGGTAATAATGTTCTAGCTTTTATGAATATCATATTCATTCCTGATACTTCTTAGCAGATGCATGAATGTTATGTTAAGTCAGGCATAAGGAACAATTCTCATAACCAGTGAATAATCTACTAAATTGATGATGCTTCTATCATAGGGTTGTCATTTATACAGAGGCGGTAGACACCCCCCCCCAGCTCCCAGTCACACTGGGGCTCTTCACTCTGGCAGGAGAGAAAATGGAGGGCACAGAGTGACATTGCAACATTCTAGGAATGCATCTCTATGGTCTTATATCACTCTTCCCCATTTTTGTTCCCACTGGAGCTCGGAGGGCCCCTGGCAACCCTAAATTTGACAGCTGATGACAGAGAGAGGCCCCCTCCGTTGGCCTACCCATGATCAAGTCCCATATAGCTCCTCCCATTGTAGTGTATTCAGTAGCTGCCATTGAATACTTATGTCTAGTGAATCATCTCATTGAGAAACAATGTTAAGCTTCGCCCTGGGCTAGGATCCAAATGTAACCAATCAGAGTACTAGCCCAGGAAGTGCCATCCAATCACTTCACAGAGCGGGAACGTTCGTGACTGGTCCTTATGGCTTCAACCTCATTGGTTGTTATGTGTACAGTGGGCGTGGCTATATTAGCCGGGAATGTTTAAAAGCAGGACAGCTGCAATGTTAAAGCTGTTCTGGCTATCAGATGTTGATCCGTGTTGGAGAAGTGTTCGAGTTGCTGAATAAAGTTGTGTTCTTGCGGAAATCACTCTCCGACTATTTGTTAAGCTCACGACTTAACACCCATCATATAAATAGCTTCATCAGGGTCATCCCACCAGGCTGGACCCACTCCCAGCCCCAATTTCTCAGGCATAATGAATTGAGTGTGAGGAAAAATACTGTTCAAAAAGTGACAGACTGGGAATTCCCATTAGTCTCAAGACCACTGTGGTGAAGACCATAACGACTAGGGGAGGAAGTACAGAGAAGTGACATCACATCCTCCCCAGATCCACTCACCCTAGGCACTGCCCCTAAAATCTTCCAGCATGGTTGGGAATCCTGCTAGTAAGGCAGCTCGGAGACACAGGAAACACAGTAGCTCTTCTTGCAAAGTCAGATGAAGTACTGTTGTAGTAAAAGGGTTTTATTTGTACTGTGCAGTCTACTGGCCACAGTAGGGACTTTGGCCTCCGACTCTTGGGTGCGGTTGGTGAGGACAGTGCATTGTATCCTGCCCAGAAAAACTCACTGAGGGCCAGATCTGAATCCAGTTCATCCTGGGATTAGTCTCCCAACAATCTAGGATGCTAGGGTTGCCATTCTCCAGGCGGTAGCTGGAGGTCCCCTGGAATTACAACTGATTTCCAAACTATGTGGATAGCTTAGTTATTATTTATTTATTTAAAACATTTATTCCACTTCTCCTGGAGAAAATGGCTACTTTGGAAGGTCCCTCTCCTCCCTAAAAGCCCACACTCCTAGGCTCCGCCCTCAAATCTCCAGGTACTTCTGAACCTGGAATTGACTACCCTGCTAGTCCGTGCTATGGCTCCATTTCCCAGGGTCTGCATCTTTCCCTCATCCGTGTTTTGTGTAGCCCATTGGAAGTTCTGGACTCCCTTGCACTGGGCTTGCCAACCTCCAGGTGGGGGTTGGAGATCTCCTGGGCTTACAACTGATCTCTGGCAACAGAGCTCGGTTCCTCTGGAGAGAATGGCTGCTTTGGATGGTGGATTCTACAGCATTATGCCCCCCCTCCCCAGACTCCACCCCCTAAATCTCCAGGTATTTCCCAAGCGGGAGATGGCAACCCTACCTTCCACAAAGTCAGTATCAGGGATGGGGAGGATTATTTTTCTCATCTGCTCTTTGAAATGTTTAATGTCCCATAAAGCGTGTTTCCAGTTGCAATTCCTTTGCCAACTTCCATATTTATTTTCCCAACTTTAGCATCTAAGTACTTTTGACAGCCAAGAAGGGGAGGGGAGGGAAGGAAAGGAAAGCCTGGTTGATTGGCCTGTTGCGGAATGTATTTATTTTTAATCCTGGAGACCCTGCCAAGAAATATTTATCTCCTAAACACTGTGAAACCGGGAAGTTTTGCTAATTGAATGTGTGCCGCTCTGTTATCTGAAGACAGCCTTTTGGAATCCCTGGCTGACTGATCTTTTTACCATCCCACAGATTTCTTTAAAGGCAAAACCGTTTTCAATCACTGGCTGCCAGGAATATGCTACAGCAACATCACGTTTCAGCTGGTATCGGAAGCGACGTTCAACAAAAGCACGCTGGTGGAGTACAGTGGGGTGACGCACAAACCAAAGCTGCATCGAACAGGTCAGCAAGCACAAGAATGTGTGAGTGTGTGAGAAAGATACATGGCGCATAGTTCCATGCGTGCATATATATCAGTACAAAGAGACCTGGCATATGGCTTTCCAATTACAGAAAGTAGACTAATTAAGAACATAGGAAGAGTCCTGCTGGACCAAACCAGAGGTCCATCTAGTCCAGCATCCTGTCTCATACAGTGGCCAGCCAGTTCCTCCGGAGCGCCAGCAACAGGGCAGAGAGGCCAAGGCCTTCCCCTGATGTTGCCTCCTGGCTCTGGGATTCAGTGCCTCTGAGTATGGAGGTCCCCCTCAGCCACCATGGCTAGTAGCCACTGGTAGACCTATCCTCCATGAATCTATCCAATCCTCTTTTAAAGCTGGTTATTCCTGTGGCCATCACTACATCCTCTGGCAGCGAATTCCACATTTTGATCACTCTGTGTGTATTTCCTTTTGTCCATCCTGAATCTGCTGCTCATCGGTTTCTAGGATGCCATTGATAGTTGTGTGTGTTAAGCGCTGTGAAGTTGTGACCTTATGAATATAACGCCCTCCAAAACATCCTTTTGTTAGCAGCCTCGCTTAGGTCTTGCAAACTGGGAGCCGTAACTTCCTTAATGGAACCAATCCATCTCAGGTTGGGTCTCCCTCTTGTCCTGCTGCCTTCAGCTTTTCCTAGCATTATTGTCTTTTCCGGTTACTCTTGCCTTCTCATAAATTAGCCAAAGTATGATAGCCTTAGTCACTTTAGCTTCTAGGGCAGGGGTGTCAAACATGCGGCCCGAGGGCTGGATCAGGCCCCCAGAGGGCTTCTATCAGGCCCGCAGTGGAACTGGCTGTCTTCTGCTTCTTCTTCCAGTTCTGCTGCTGCTGCGTCATTGTAGGTTTGTAGCTTACAGATATATATACCTGAACTGCATACTCAAGATTGCAACAGCAGAGACATTTTGATGCAATAATTCAGAGCAAGACGTGTCAGTTATCAGACATTGTTAAATAATAGGGTTGCCAAGTGTAAATTCCTCCGGAGCGGGGGACTCCTGTCCGGCGTCTGGAGCGCCATAGAGTTTTCCCTCGGATGACCGTGGCCCCGCCCCCAGCGTGCCCAGCGTGGTCGCGTCACTTCCGGGTGATGTGAATGTCGGGGTGGGGTTCCCTCTGGGGCCCAATCCACCGGCGGTGGGGAACAGGCCTCTGGGGCGGGGGTTTTCCCGCCCCCCGGGGGGACTTGGCAAGCCTATTAAATAAACAAGATATTGCAAGAGTACTAATGTTTTAAGCATGTTTTTATTTTAAGTAAAAAGAACCCCCTTTGTGTTTGTGTCCTGTATAAAGTTTATATCTCCGCTTCCTGGCATTACATTTTATGACACACATGGCCCGGCCCAACAAGGTCTCATTTATGTCAGATCCGGCCCTCGTAACAAATGAGTTCGACACCCCTGTTCTAGGGGATGTTCAGGCAATACTTAGTAGGATCCTTTTTATTGCTCTTCTAATAGATTGGGATAATTATTGCTTTAGTCAAGGTTTTAGGCATTCTGCTGGAATTATTGATGCATGCAAATAAGGATGAGAGCAGGGGGCAACATCACTTTACATTAGGTTTAATTAATTCAGTGGCGTGTCATCAAGATCAGGATCTTTCCCCGATTTTAATTGAGCCGTAAGCTCTTCATCCTCGGGACTAACCAGAGGTTGTTCTCGGGCATCTTTCAGTGATGATACAGCAGTTTTGCTCTCAAAGTTTCATTCAAAATCTGTTGGAAATGTTTCCCCCCGATAGATCAGAACAAGGATCCAGTGTCGTATTTCTCACGGTCAAAAGCTGCTAGGAAGTCCATGAATACATCAGCCCCACTGCTTCCCGCCCCGCAAGGTGCATTGGCTCCAACCTGGGAGGGCAAATTTGATAGGCAAAGCTGTTCTGGGCTAGAAGCGTTAAACCCAGTCTTCCCTGGGGTTGCCAATTTCCAGGCGGGGCCTGGAGTTCTCCTGGAATTACCACTGATCTCCAGAAAACAAAGATCGGTTCTCCTGGAGAAACTGGTATCTGGAGGGTGGATTCTATGGCATTAAACCCCACTGACGCCCCTCCCTTCCCCCAACCCCACCCTCCCCTGGCTTCTCATCCAAATTTGCAGGAATTTCCCAAACTGGAGTTGGCCACTGTATTCTGTTGCCTGGAGATCAGTTGTGATTCTGGGGGGTCTCCAGGCCCCAACCTGGGTCAGCAGTCATAGTTTGTTGGTGGGTTTATGCATGTGTTTTACTCCTGTACAAGATCACCGTTGAAAACTGGTTACTTGTGGTGTATGAAGATAGCTGTTAGGATTCATTGCGGTTAATCTCCCATTCACACACTTTTTAATTTTTGCCATCAAGTCGCAGCCAACTTCTGGCGACCCCGTAGGGTTTTCAAGGCAAGAGACTAACAAGAGGAGGTTTGCCATTGCCTGCCTCTGTGTAGTGACCCTGGACTTCTTTGGCAGTCTTCCATCTAAATACTCACCACGGCCAAACCTGCTTAGCTTCTGAGATCAGACAAGCATAGGCTAGTCTGGGCTATCCAGGTCAGGGCCTACCTCAGATGAAGCCTGGATAAAACCCTGGTTTAGGATCCCATTTATGGGAGGAAACTAAGTCCTTTCTTCTCTTAGTGAAAGGAGAGAGGGGCAGGGGTCATTTCCTGTGGGAGCGGAGCTCCGACAGTAAAGAGCCCAGGGGGCGGGCACATGCAACAAGCCCCACCTCCTGCTCCCAGCAGCCCTCAGTCAGAGCAAGAAGCAGCCAGGTAAATTGCAGAGACCCCCCCCCCGGCCCCCTGGACCCAAACAGTCCAGTGGCACCTTTAAGACCAAGTTTTATTCAGGTACAAGCTCTCCCTCCTCTGTGAGGACAGATCTGCACGTTCCCCCCCCCCAATAACTAGCAATCCAAAACAGCCCAGTGGAGCCTGAGCGGTGGGTGTTGCCTTCTGACACACTTCTGGTGATGTCAGGGGTGTGACATATGCAAATAAGTTATGCTAATGAGTTGTGCTAATGAGCTCCTGCACCTCTTTTTCTACAAAATGACCCCTGGAGAGGGGTATAGGGTTGCCATACCCCTGGTCGGGGTGAGGGTTCCCCTGATTTTGTGGGCTCCAATCCACCACCAGCTAGCTGGTTCTGCAGAAAAATTTCAAAACACTAAAAGAATGTGTATGTGTGTGTGTGTGAAAAGTCCCCACTTAACAGAATGCCATCCAAGATCTGAGGAACCTCTGACACCATGGCATGGAGAGGAGAGAGAAAGTGATGATGGAGGGGCCCAGAGAAGGAAGGGAAAACATAAAATTGGACAGACAAAAATACAGAAATTGGCAGTGGGTTTCCAGAACAGGGACAGAATGCAATAGCAGAAAGGGTAAACAGAGAGAAAACCAAAAAGGAGTGCTGGAAAAACTGGGGGCCAGTGGATGGGATTTCCCTCCCTCACCAGTCCTCTGTGTCCCTGCTTGTATGGTAACAATGATGGTGAGCATGTTAGTATTAAACCCAGCTAATGCTGTTCGAAAGTTCAAAAGTAAGAAATTGCAAGTAGATAAATAGTGGGAAGGTAACAGCGTTCCGTGCGCCTTGTTGTTTAGTCATGCCGGCCACATGACCACGGAAACGTCTTCAGACAGCGCTGGCTCTTTGGCTTTGAAACGGAGATGAGCACCGCAACCCTAGAGTCGGATTCGACTGGCTTTCGAGCAAGGGGAACCTTTACCTTTACTAACGCTGCTTGAATCCCCCCTCTTTTTTCCCAGCTCCCTACCCACCTCGAAATATTTCTGTGCGTATCGTCCCGATAAGCAGAAATGAGAACTGGGAAGAACACAGCGGCATCTTCCCAGAGGAATCTTTTTTGGGGATGCAGAACACAGCGGAGTTGGAGAAAACCACTCATCTCTTGGACGATCTGCTGGAACTGCCGACTGCAAACGCTACCTATACGTGGCCCGATTACCGCTACAATAGCAGTGACTACGAAACCACGTCTCAGCCAGATTGGTGGATTAACGAATCCGACTTTCCGGAGAGTGAAGATGAGTTTGTGAACGCCGTGCCGAGGGACTATGAGAACAGCAGCCCGACACTGGAGTTTGGGAATCCGACTCCCGAGCCTCTCTTGTTCCTCCCCGTGCAAATGGTGTTGAGCTGGTTGCCTCCAAAGCCACCCACAGCATTTGATGGCTTCCATATTAATATCGAGAGAGAAGGTAGCATTGAAAAGAGACTTCTCCCAAGTTACGTTGTGTATTAACAAAAGTTCAAAGTAGGAGGGTGTCTTATGTGGTTCATCTGCTAATTTAGGTAGAAACTAATGGATAATTAAGACCACATTACACATGATGTTGGGTAACATCTGTGGTCAGAGTTTTATGGTAGACTTTTATGATAGAAATTTTGGTTGGATCCATGGGAGACAGATGATTTGTGTCCAACCTACAGTGCTGGAGATGTGATTAATATCACCCCACACACACACACACACACACCATTTCCCCAATAAAAACCTCACCCCCCACAGGTGCTATTTGCTGTGGTGGGGATAAAAGACAGATACCTGGAGCGATCAGACATGGAAAAATCCGTCCATGGCCCGTCGCAACCCGTTTATTACCGGATTTCCCCCGGTGTCTTTTAACTCCGCTTCTGCAACGGAGCAGAACGGGTTGCCGACGGCTGTGGGGCTCTTCCCAGATGTTGTTGTCTGATCGTACCCTTTAAATCTGCCCGGCATTCGCACCTATGTCGGGTCTAATTGTGTGTATGATCGCAGCCTTAGGCTACTTTATTGGTGGAGAGCTACTGGTTCCCTCAGTGTCTTCTGCCACCATCTGCAGTGGCCCCCGTTCCAGCTGTCTTTCAGTGCTGCTGCAGTGAGCATTTCTTCCCCATCCCTCTGGGTTCTTGGATCCAGAGTGGCAGAGAAGAACAAGGAATTAGTACTGACTTCCCATTCCTCCATAGCTAATAGGAAGTCAGGTGTTGGTGGAGGGGAGCAGAGAAGCATGTAGCCAGACTGAGGAAGTAGAGTTCCCAGCTCCCCAATCCTAGCAGGGGTTCCACTGCTTTTCAAGGCTTTGATCCACTGCCGGCCAGCTGGTCTGCGGGGGAAGCCCCACCCCCAAACTGGGAGGTCACGGCCAACGTCCCAACATGATGAGTTTTGCCCAAAAACTAGACTCACCTCGACGTTGGCAATGTGATGACGTCACTTCCAGGTGACATCATTGCACCGGGACATTGCTTGGTGACCTCCCTGTTCAAGGGTGGGACAGAAGATCTCGGGAAAGACCCAGCCCCCCCCCCCCTCACG